TTCTTAGCGGGCCATGCCTAAAATGGATTTTACTTTAGTCAAATGTTTCACAACCAATACCTCAGAAATACACACTAAGGATGAAGCATGATGAATGACCCAATACTGCATACTCGGTCACCTGTAGGGCTGCAGAATTAGAACTCACTGTCAGGAAAGGATTTTCTGACTTTAAATGATGGCACTGCAATTTACATAGGTTGCATATCAAATAATATCTGCTATTAGCTGGCTGGTTTTAGCGTGCTCAAGCTATTAATGTGTCAAATGATACTGGTGTTAATTTATAACTATGTGGAATACAGAACTACCTCTTGTTTTCATTTGGCAAATGGTCATTCTAGGACATGCATTTTCAACGCTAGATTATCTTTGAAAGGCAAGAAACACATTAATAATATATTTTTCTCTTGATTAACAAAGAATTAGTGCTGTAGCTCTGATGACTTTATCATCATTAACTGAGACATACTTACAAAAATGTGCCCAATGATACCCATACTTTGTCATCTTGAAATATAACTCTACCTCAAAATCTTTACTTCACACCTTCATTACTCTTAAGAATAATGCTATTCTTCCTAATAAATATCATGGCCCTTTAACAAAAAGAAAGACTACGCTATTTTAAGATCTTGCATGTCATTCTTTAATAATCAAGAGCCAGCCACTGAGTTTTCCAGTGCAAAATGTTATGCTACAAAGAGCAAGGCACTGCTAAGTTTTATGTACAGTGAATTTCCATTATTGACAACTACTGGATTATTTTTACAAGCTGTGCTTTTTTACTTTCCCCAGACACTATCAGATGGTACAAATTCACTGCCCAAATATCAGCAGAAATTAATTCTATGACTAAAAAAACAAAACAAAACAAAACAACAAAAACCAGTCAAACATAATGATCCTTCTGCGACAAATAGGAACATTGAAATGTCTCTGTGATTCAGTGATTTGCTTGAACAGTGTCTGCCTTCACTTTACCTTTGCTTTACCTGCAACTACAGATGGCTTTTTAGAAATTTTCACCAGGACTAGACTGTGGCACGCAAGAACAGACACGGAGCTGCAGTGTGTGAGATCATCGTGCATTGATTACACTTATCTACTAAGAGCCATGCGGTGGAGCCTTCGTAATCAACAGAAAGCCTAAGTTGGTGCATTCCCCACTAAAATTAAAAACAAACAAAATGTGCACCTGTAGTGTACACTGAAATAGTAAGATTAGAGATGGGAGAAAAGTGAGAGCAATACACCCTTTAGAAAAAAATTAGCCTTACGTGACATAAATACTGATCAATCAATAGACTGTTAAAAGAAAACAGTATCTGCCCAAATAAAAATAAGAGGTTAACAAAGTCTGTTCATGAAAACCACAGACTAATCATTTATTCACAAACAAGCAGTAACTTATACCACTCCTGCCTGTGATTTCTGACCATTTCATGAATTAGATAGATAACCTTAAGAATTTTCTTGTATTTAACTTATGGTTTTAATATTCAAAATACAGACTTTGTGTCTCTATATTCAGATTCCCTATTTGGTACTTTTTCTCATGGGGAAAAAAGTGTGCACTGAGTGATTAACATGCACTTTTATAGCTTGTCTGTGTTCACTGAAGCTGTCGTAGGCACCTGGCACTTCCCTCTTCCCAGCAGTTCCCACCGCAACCTTGACGTACGTAAGCAGCTGAAGATGCAATAGGGAAGCAATATTTTCACGTACTCTACAGATACCACCTACAGTGTCATTTACATTTTGTAACTTAAAATAAAAGTAAAATAAAATTTCTCTTTAAACTAAGAAGTTTACTTTTTAAAGGACCCGTAAGAGGAAACATTGAATGGACTGACTCATTGGTCTAGTTTCTAACACTATTAATGAAGCTATAAAGCTGCAAGGTAGCAGTGACAATATTTGATGTACTAATGTGTTCATCCAACACTGATTCTGTTTTTCGAAGGAGAGAGTTGCCATGCGAACATCTAGATGCGATACAGCAAAATCAGCTGTGCTGTAGCACTTGAAATCACAACTGGATGGATTTATGGTACTGCACTACTGCCATCTACACAAGCTTCATTAGTGTTTTATCTAAATAAAGGGGTTTTTTGTCCATTGTTCTTTCTGGCAATATTTGTATTTGTGCAAATCAAGTGCAAACTTTAACAGATCGGAATAACAGTGCTTTAAGCACATTTAGAATAGGTTAAAATGATGACAAGTCTAAGACATAGAAAAATCAAGTTCCAAAGCAGATATCGTTATCTTTCACTAGTTTCTTCTATCATGACAATTGGGAAGAAAAATCAGGGGGACTTTTGCATCAAGATATATTGCAGTAATTAGGTAGAATTTTACCAGGCAATGCAACACATTGAATAAAATAATTCTAATAATATACTAGCCTGCTAAATGACAACAAAAACCCGAGAACATTTATATTGCTTTCTTCCACTCATCAATGGAATTAGCTTTAGTATCCTTATACCTAATTATTGCTTTTTTCAATAAATATCTACTTTATTAGATAGCATGGCAATGAAGAATAGACCAGAGTTCAAAGATTTCAAAAAACCTGTATGGTCTCAAAAAATATATCTAGAAATAGTTGAGTTAAAATCAGATATGCATTATTACCCTCATTACTGTAATATTAATATTAATTCAGTATTTTTTGCATTACAACTGCAAAATTTACAGAAGTATTTTTTGGATTAATTATTTCTTCATCAGCCAAGATTGATAGTTGTGATGAAGAAAAATATAGTGTATCTCTGGAAATCTATAGAAATGGATGCTATGTTTCCTGTTGTTTCCTGACCAGGCAAATGCAGTGAAATTTAATCTAAACTTTTCTGATATGAAGGAGAAATATACTTCACATTTTTTAAGTGATGTTTAAGCCTACCCATTGAGTAATAGAAACAAGTTTGACTCTTAGACCTAGTTCGGAGGTGTTTGGTTTAACAGAAGTCTCTCCACAGGCTCAGTGAGGTCTCTCCGTATTTACTAACCTTCCAGCATTTCAGTGCTGTGCCAGACACATCTGTCACCAGATCAATGTCACTGGATCAACAGCAAAAAAATGTAGACCTTCCACTGGTTTATTGTGTTCACACTAGTGAACAGCATAGCTCTCAGAATTACAAAGTCATGGAAATAAGGGCTGGAATGCAGCCCTCTGATTCAGCTTCTCTTTCTCCTCCCTTCAAGTAAGGGTCAATTAAATCTGTTAATCTTGGTTAATACTTGCTTAGTCTGTGATTCAGGTACCTGAGTATAAAGGTAATATAATAGTACCCCACAGGCACTCTGGTAAAAATTACATTTGAAGAGCTGGATTCAAGCAGAGTAGAGATCATCATCTGAGTACCCTATCTCTGTGTTACCTTCACTTTAAATTCACTAGTTGGGTACTATTCAGGGCTTGATTCATAGTATTTTAGCCACAAAGCTGACACACAGAAAAAAATTGAAAATTCACTGATTAAATAGCTTCAGTTCTTCCTCTGTTAGGCATTAGTACAGAACGTGTCTTCTCACTGCTGACATTATAATGTACCAGAAAATTAGTCTGCACCCTCCCAAAACCAAAGGTGTGGGCTTGCTCTGAATTAAAGTGCTGCCAAAAAGCAGAAGTGAACATTAAAAATTGCATAAATTACATAATGCTCATATAATTGGTAATGTAATACACTTCTTTTTTTTCCCTCTCTCACTGATCTGGATCTGGCTTAGACTAGCAGTGACTGAAAGTTGTTGGTATCTGGTGGCTAATACATGATCTCTGTCCTGTTCCCATTGGGAAAGTGTCTGTATGCCAAAAACATTATGCAAAATTATACCTTGTTCTTTTACATGTAATTATTCTGCCATAAGCAGTGCAACAGCTGTCAGCCTTATTAACGTGCGGGTCCAAGGCGGTTAGGGAAATGTACCTCCCATCTGGAGAACAGAACACTTTAACCTTAATAAGGCTGCTAGAGGGACACCCCTGGAAACTGAGAGGCTCTGTATCTCAGACCCCTTAAAATCTGCTTTACTGCCTTCTTCTTTCTCAAGAATGAGTTTAAACACTCCTTCATTAAATCTCTGTATTACAGATCAATTTTCCAGACATTTTAACCTGTATTTCACGCCCATAAGAAACTTCTTCCCTTAAGTCTGCAACAAATTACTGTTTAAAGCATACCAAAATAAAACATATAGAAATATATTCGTGTATTCATCCAAGGGTGGAATCTTTACATGCCTGGATTTATCGAATGTTATTCTTTTCTTGCAAGTTGTATGACTCTGCTTTGTTCCCTGTCAGGGCAACAAAGTCTGACTGACCTGCCTTCTATTCCTGAGCATCACTCGACAGGCAGCTGCTGCCTACTCACTCCCACCCTTCCTCCAGAGAGGATTTTGCATAGTTAATTACCCTTTTCATCTCTAAGCTCTAACTCAGACCTTTGTAACTTCTGGTAAGTGACTGCCAGAAGCATCACCTCCATAGTCCAGCCATTGTTCCCTTGAAGTTGTTTACTGAGATCTCTCATCTCTGACCATTGTTTAGTTTCCTGTTTGCTCTTCCTAACAGCTCCTTTGAATTCAACCCCCTATACTCAGAGAGAATAATGTGAAACAGATAAAGTGGAATACAATTACACCCAAAAAAAAAAAAAAAAAGAGCGATCTTTTCTTTACTCTCCACAAATGTTCATCAGGACTAAATTCACATATGTAAATTACGTTGTGTTTAGAGAAGTAACAAGTAGAACATGAGATGCAGCAGGGAGGTTGTGTACATGAATCTTTCATTTCATGGTGCTTTAGAGGTAACTACTCTGCAAGCTGACAAGCTGTTAATGACCAGGATACCCAGGTAGGTGCAAAGACACAAGCATGATTAGGCCTTTTTCCCAGATTGAAAGACCTACAAACCCCAGATACAGAACATGATTAACTAAAAGGATTAAATAAAATTTTGCAAAAGCCATCATACTTACACTGTCATTGCTTCCTTTGTTGTCCTCGTATTTTGTCTCTATATGAATGGAGAATTTAGGCAAAAATGAACACTGCAATAAAAGAAAAAGTATGTTTGACATAAAAAAATATGCCTTGCTTTATCAGCTGACATATTCAGTACATCCTGTCTGGTATCAGCTTTCTTATTTTTTTCAGATTACTTCAAGAAAAAGAGTAGGTGTACACAGAACATAAGAGCAAAGGGTTTTATGATTCTGAAAGGATGCAGAGATTCTATCTAAAAGCTGAATATTATAATGAAGGTATAAATAAATTAGTATAAGTACTCTGGAATAACTAGATACAATAGTTTTCATGCTCACTATGCCTAAGAGTACAAATGTCCTGAATGTGTTGTTATAAATTCAGTTCACTAAGATCTCGAGAGCAACTAGATATTCACCATCATAGATTAGTCTATCCCCATACAAAATAAATCAAGGACACTTCACTAGCTGCAGGTGCTAACCAAATAGACAACAATGCTTTGATGTGTGACAGCTTTTTTGAACTGTCAGTGAGAAATGAATTTTAGCATAATTTCCTATTAATGAAATTAAGATGGATTATGAGCTGCTGTGGAAATTCCTTTATACTAAACCCAAATCAATCTTTAGATAATAATGCAAGAAAATTAGGAATGCACAGATGTTTTTCTATTAAAGATAATATTTCTGAATTTTACATGGGAATAAATTTATTTTTCTATGGAATGCTCAATTTAGTTGGCTTATCAAGACTAGAATTTATAATACTGGGCAACATAACTCCAGTGGAAAAAATATTTCTAATATCTTTTCTTTAGCATTTCACAGTTGTTCTTTCAAATCAACTTTTCAGATAGGCAGCAGAATAGATAACTAAAAAACTCTGAAGGATACTAGTTCAGCATTTTTACCATTAGTCATCAGGTCTTTTCTTGCATTAACTGCCAGTGAAACTGAAGTGCCAGTTCCTTGTATGATGCATCACTAATACCCTACGGCAAAGTGTCTTTGTAAAGACTATGACTATTTCATGTGCTGTACATACAGATTATACAATGAGGACATTATGATGCCTCAGTGTTCACATTGCTGTTGGTCCAAGTTTGGACTTGATAAAATTTGGAGAGTTCTTCTAAGGGAGAGGCTGATGACTAAGAACAGAGGTGATTTAGAAGGCCAGCGGTAGTGCAACAAAATTGAAATGAGAAGCCAGCTCCTTTGAGACTGCAGAAAATATATTCCCGATTCCATGGATTTCGCCCAAGTCATTGTTCAATCTTCTTCTGATCACAGGATATCTAGTACTCAATGAGCACATCTAGAATCAATCCGTGTTGGAAAAAAAGTGAGAGTTTTGCCAGAATAAGGTTCTGGTGCCATGGAAGGCTTCTGGTCAAACTGTCTTCCCATTAACATAATAAAATACTCCCATGCAACATGTTGGTGCTGCAGATGCCCAAACCGCACAGGCTTCTCTTCAGATCTTATAAATATTTTGCCTTTTATTAAAGATGTCTGTGGAGCAGCACATTTATGAGTTTCAATCCAATCTGAACTGTGAGTAGCTCTCAGTCTATGCAACTTGTTCATTGAGTGAATATGTGGGAGGGAAAAAAAAAATCAGCAGGATGTGGAGTGCAGGATGGGGCAAGTTCAATGACAGATCTGCTAGCTCCTATTACCCATATTTTGTGGGCAATTAAACATTTCCTATGTATACATCTCAGGAAGTGCCAGCTGAAAATATACAGTATTTATAAGCAGTCTGTCAGAACTGGGGATCTTGTAACACAAATTAACACCAAAAAAAATCCAGATATTCTCCCAACTGAGGTTTCACCATGTATCTCAGTATGCTGCTCCTATTCTGGCAGACATCCAAAGGCATCTGCAAACAAAAGCCTCAGCAAACAGTAGGCACTACAGGGAAAGAAGATGGGGGGGGGGGAAAGCACCAAGCTTTGTCATAAGGTTCTAATTTGTATCTCCAAAATTAACCAAAAGGTGGAATGAACATCTTTGAACTATATTAACGTTAGCTGGATGAAGAGATGAATAAAAGGGGTTGATTAAAAGAATTCTATAATCAAATGTTCCTAGAGTAAGAAAAGTTATAAATGTGATGTTACAAAAAAAAAAAGGAATGACCCAGGAGACACAGGGATGCCAGCATGTCCTAAAACAATGCTTTATGTCACTCAGAGGATTCATATTCAAACAGCATACACCAACATTCTAGCTGTTTTCTGTGTTTGCAGGAGAATATGGAGGGTTGAAAAGCAAATTATTACTGGAGGTGGATTATGAAAAGCAGATTTTAAAAAAATGTATAATCTAATGACAGACATCTTCTACTGCATCGTTTTTACAGCATTTGGAAAATAACTACATTGGTGCTAGGGTGGTAAAAACATGGGTTATTGATCTAAAAAATTTAGTATATGGCAGCCTTGTATTTTACAAAGATGTAACTACAGCGGTCACAGTCCAGGTGTACAGAGGTCTTGCTGACAACAACCTAGACCTCTGCATATGGGCATCCTATGGGAAAGCATCCTTGAGGAAATGAGAGGAGACTGCCAGTGAGTATTTTATCAGCAGTTACTAGTACTGCTTACTGAATGCAGTAACTGGTACTGCATTACTGAGGACTCAATGCTTAGGTCTGAATAACAGCTTTTAAAAACATTTTCACTGAAAATGGTAGAGATGTATGCCATACTATCTACGATACACTAATTGTTCACAACAGTTATCAGGAAAACACAGTTTACTAGCATTGTGTCTGCGTATTTCAAGATTACTGCTCTAGGCCATGTTTTACTTACATGTTAGTGTCTGTTAAGTATCTGCCCTCTTGATTTGAGGACCAAAATTTAATTTTCTTTGTTACACAATTAAACAAAATCAACACCCGCTAAATAAAGTCTAGTAATTGATAAAAACAGAATGACATCAATGATCTATCACTAGTGGAAGGGCCATCAAGTCTATAATGCTTGAGCAGATTGAGTATCTAGGTCAGAGCTTTGTGAGTTTGCAAACTTTTAAGTTATACAGTCTGAGTTTAGTGGTTTGCCGGAAACCTCAGTGGCTATGGAAATTGCTCTGCCTATGCTGACCTTAATGGCCCTGGGCAGTGCAGTTCTCTCAGCTCTTTTAAGAAGTAGCAGGATCCACCACAGGACTTGGTGCTGCTTTCTGTCAATTGTCAGAAAATTCTATTGACAGAAGGAACTTCAGTATAGCATCTTTCACATTTACAGCTAATACAAAGATAACACCCTTACCAAAACAGCTCTTCATCCCTGGTTCTGATTAAAGCATCTTTGCTTATGATCTAACTATAGAAATTCAGGAGCTGTTGGATTGAGTACATTTTTCAACACTCAAACACATTTTTCTTTGTTGCTTTTTAGGTCACAGTTTCAGGTACAGCAGAGGACAAAAATGCAAAATACGAAAATCCTTTGTCCTGTTGATCTGAAGCATGGCTACAGTTTCAGAGGAAATTCTGAGTAAAGCCAAATTCCAGATTTCTGTTTTACCTTGCTATCAAAAAATATCTACTATTTTCAACCACTGTCTAGAGTTTATCAGCAATGAGTCAGATCATGATATTTTGAAATGCAGCCATTTCATATATTGAACTTAAGGCTGCTTTAGGCTGCCTGTAGCAGCTCAGCAAGCCACTGCTTGAATCTAGTTGTTGTTTCCTGTGACCCAGAATCTAAACTCTAATTAAAAAAAAGAGATCTCCTAGTCTGGTATTTCAAAAAAGAAACGTTAAGAAAAGACTAATGATCTTCAGAGTATTATAGAAGAAGAGTAAGTGCCATTTACCTCAAGCCACCTCATTAGAGAGCACAAAGTAATTTTCTGCACAAAGCTACCAAAAGTCAACCTCCCTGTGTATTTAGTATAAAGGCAAGGGCTATAACAATCTAATTTGAGATTATAAATGGTAACATGAATTTCCCCCAAATGAAAACTAAAATTCACCAAAAAGTACTCCATTGCAAATATATCTCTTAGAAACTCAACTGACTGGCAGCCACTGTTTTAGCAGCTGTGGGGGGTCTCTGGCTTTCAGGAACACTTAGCAGGGTCCAAATTTTTGAACATTTCACAGAATGTGTCTCATGATTCATCAGCTGCACTCTGACTAATTGGCAGAGGGCTCTGGCAGAACCAGAAAACTGTTTATGCATCATTCAAAAGACTTTATTATTCACCATGCAAAAAGTTGTTGGGTTTTTCTCCCCTCCTTAAGTGGCTGCATATTTACTTAGCCAGGGATTAAAAGTGTTACGCAACAGTCAGAATCAAACTTGGGAGTGAATGGTAGGTAATAAACCTTCCAATAGATTTTTTTTTTTCAAAGCACCACTCCCTTTCTGCTCTGCCTCCCCCGGGGCGTGTGTTCTTCCAGCACAAACCTGGCAGCCGATCGATACACTGAGCGCACACAGGAATGCACAGGGCACTGTTTCCAATTTTCCATTTCGCTATCTCTACAGCTTGCAAGGTTCCTCTTTGAAAAAAATAGTGGCAAACTGCATCTTTAACTTGAAATTAGACTTAAATTCTACATAATAAGACAAAGTCTTCCTAGTGTCTTCAATGATAAGGTTTCTTTGTGTAAAGCTCTCAAAGGTGGCGTCTTTCATATTGTCACCTCCAGATTTTTTCAGATGTGTTATAATCTGGTATACCTATGACACTCAAAAACAAACAAGGAGAATATGCTGGGGGTTTTGTTTGTTTGTTTTTTGTTTGTTTTTTTGTTTTGTTTTTTTTTTTTTTTTTAAACTTTCTGTATTTTGCACCTCTTTTGGAAGAACCAGGAGAGGTTGAAAGCTCAAGAGAGTAACCAGTGAAATAACCGGAGTCTGTAATAGTAATTACCACACATAAGCATGGGTATTTCCAGATTAAAATAAAGTGAAATGAAAGCAGCATATGGAAAACACAGACTGCAGTTGCATTTTCAATTCACTACAGATAACCTCTTGAAAAATGAAAGGCCTATTTTTAGCATGATGATTGATTAGTGTTGCCAT